ATAAAAAAATATATTTTTTAAATAAAATAGTTTGAGTGTAAGCTTTTTTACCTTTAATTAAAAAAAAGTTGAAGATTTCATTACACATACTCACACGCTATCGATTAGTCTAATTGTAATAAATTTACATGTAATGACGTTAGATATTGTCATAACATTTGAATAATAATTTTCATCAAAATGGTCCAGAATGTTTTAGCTTATTAAATAAAGTTTAAAATTTTCAAATTAAAGACGTGTAGACAGGACAACGTCTGTCGGGTCCACTAGTTTTCTATATAAAATGCCATCACACAAAATCATTATTTCAAAAAACTTTGGCTTATTTAAAAAATGAATCATCATCATCATCATCATATTGATAACATGTCACTCTTAAGGCATATGGAAACTTAACTTTGCTTTTCTCAAAATTATTACCTGAAAATTTATTAAATTAGAGTTATATTGATTTTTTTGGTAAATGTACCAATAATATTCCAATTCGAGTAAAAATGCAAGAAAAATTTTCATATCATTTTATACAGATGACAAGAAAAACAGTAGATAACTGTGAACCACCGGGAAGGGGGGGTAGGTCTCCCGATCCGGCAACAGGTTGTTAAACCTTTTCACTGTCAGGATGGGTGGAAGGATTCTTTTTCCCGCAGTAACGGGCTTTAATGCTTCGGGTCGAGTGGCGGAGGGAGGAGTGCATCGGTGAGACGTCAGGCAATATACGAGTAAACGAGGAGGCCAGATGTAACATAAGAAAAATTAACAATTTATTTAAAGCAAGTTTCGGGTAGTATAACGTCTAGTTCGCGTCCCTAAAACGTGGAGAGACCGACAGAGAGCTTACAATAATTGGTTCCATACCTCTTGATCTGTTATCCACTGAGGAAAATTCTCCACTCTTAGATTTAGGAAAGTTCACGGGTTAAAAATTTAAACCTTTGATGTAGGAAAGTTCACTGTTTAAAAAGGACACTATTTTTAAAGTTATCGGCTCCTGGCACCTGCTCTGGAACGACTCCCCCGAGAAGGGGAAGGAAGGAGTTTTTATAAGATCGGCGTGGGAGAATGGTCATGTGATTGATTGTTGTGAGGTAAAAGGTACGCAGATGGGTCAGAGTTGTTCCTGGGACCATACTAACTATCAACTTAGCAGTTGGAATGTGGGATTAGTTTCGAAATGAACGGATGTTTACCTCGAATAGAAAGGGGCGATAGCCATTTTTCTTTTCTCCTTTTAGTAAGTTAAAGGAAAGTTTGATTAAATTTTTAGGCAAATACGGGACATTGAATCGGCAAATAATCGGTAAAAATTCCGGATCTCACATAACTTTGTAGTTGTAAAACCAGTTACAATTTTAAAACCTGTTTTTTTTAATCAAATATTTTTTCTTTGTTTTCAAGGGAAGTTTTAATTTTGATGACCAAGTAGCCTACAGAGAAAAGTCAGTCATCAAAAGTTTCTATTCTGGAATTTTGACACTGAATAAATGGTGATTCCTTTTACAACAGATTATGTCTTCAATTTAATTTTTAAATATTGTCGTTATTTTGTAATAAAATAAAAATTAAAAATGTCACATTTAAAAACTAGGGATTACCATATAGACCCAGCACTCTCTCAGACAACTGTTTCTTCACATCCACCCATCCAATCATATCTCCACTTATAATCACATGTTCCTGAGGGTTGCATTCATCCAAGATGTCTTGTAAATTTTCCCAAAATTCACATTTTAAACATCCACAGGGACATACATAATGACAACAACCACTCTGCATCTTCACTTTGAAGAACACCCACCATCAGTCTTTCATTCACTTGCTTATACTCCTTCATGCATGCACTAACTAAAACCTATTCTTGCATCTGCTCATTGTGGGTGCGTTTACTTCTGAGTTAGCAGTGCTAATTCTGATAACCGGATGTGACGTCATTAGCACGTGTATTCGTGCTTGCTTGTCCAATTCGAAAGTGAACACATACGCTAACAAGAAATATGGCTGGAAACCGCCATATTTCTTGTTAGCGTATGTGTTCACTTTCGAATTGGACAAGCAAGCACGAATACACGTGCTAATGACGTCACATCCGGTTATCAGAATTAGCACTGCTAACTCAGAAGTAAACGCACCCACAATGAGCAGATGCAAGAATAGGTTTTAGTTAGTGCATGCATGAAGGAGTATAAGCAAGTGAATGAAAGACTGATGGTGGGTGTTCTTCAAAGTGAAGATGCAGAGTGGTTGTTGTCATTATGTATGTCCCTGTGGATGTTTAAAATGTGAATTTTGGGAAAATTTACAAGACATCTTGGATGAATGCAACCCTCAGGAACATGTGATTATAAGTGGAGATATGATTGGATGGGTGGATGTGAAGAAACAGTTGTCTGAGAGAGTGCTGGGTCTATATGGTAATCCCTAGTTTTTAAATGTGACATTTTTAATTTTTATTTTATTACAAAATAACGACAATATTTAAAAATTAAATTGAAGACATAATCTGTTGTAAAAGGAATCACCATTTATTCAGTGTCAAAATTCCAGAATAGAAACTTTTGATGACTGACTTTTCTCTGTAGGCTACTTGGTCATCAAAATTAAAACTTCCCTTGAAAACAAAGAAAAAATATTTGATTAAAAAAAACAGGTTTTAAAATTGTAACTGGTTTTACAACTACAAAGTTATGTGAGATCCGGAATTTTTACCGATTATTTGCCGATTCAATGTCCCGTATTTGCCTAAAAATTTAATCAAACTTTCCTTTAACTTACTAAAAGGAGAAAAGAAAAATGGCTATCGCCCCTTTCTATTCGAGGTAAACATCCGTTCATTTCGAAACTAATCCCACATTCCAACTGCTAAGTTGATAGTTAGTATGGTCCCAGGAACAACTCTGACCCATCTGCGTACCTTTTACCTCACAACAATCAATCACATGACCATTCTCCCACGCCGATCTTATAAAAACTCCTTCCTTCCCCTTCTCGGGGGAGTCGTTCCAGAGCAGGTGCCAGGAGCCGATAACTTTAAAAATAGTGTCCTTTTTAAACAGTGAACTTTCCTACATCAAAGGTTTAAATTTTTAACCCGTGAACTTTCCTAAATCTAAGAGTGGAGAATTTTCCTCAGTGGATAACAGATCAAGAGGTATGGAACCAATTATTGTAAGCTCTCTCTCGGTCTCTCCACGTTTTAGGGACGCGAACTAGATGATGTACTACCCGAAACTTGCTTTAAATAAATTGTTAATTTTTCTTATGTTACATCTGGCCTCCTCGTTTACTCGTATATTGCCTGACGTCTCACCGACGCACTCCTCCCTCCGCCACTCGACCCGAAGCATTAAAGCCCGTTACTGCGGGAAAAAGAATCCTTCCACCCATCCTGACAGTGAAAAGGTTTAACAACCTGTTGCCGGATCGGGAGACCTACCCCCCCTTCCCGGTGGTTCACAGTTATCTACTGTTTTTCTTGTCATCTGTATAAAATGATATGAAAATTTTTCTTGCATTTTTACTCGAATTGGAATATTATTGGTACATTTACCAAAAAAATCAATATAACTCTAATTTAATAAATTTTCAGGTAATAATTTTGAGAAAAGCAAAGTTAAGTTTCCATATGCCTTAAGAGTGACATGTTATCAATATGATGATGATGATGATGATTCATTTTTTAAATAAGCCAAAGTTTTTTGAAATAATGATTTTGTGTGATGGCATTTTATATAGAAAATAAGGCACCAATAAATTAAATAATCAGATTGGAAAGCAAATGTTAATACTGAAGTTGATAATTGCATAGGATTATTTTTATGTACAGACAACAAAATTCAAAGTTATGATTAAATTTAGAGAGATAACCAATTTCTCTTTCATCAGCTTTTTTTTCCTAATAATTTCAATTATGGTGCCAAGTACATATGTTTTTTTCTACCATAGATTAGTGTATTGGAATGTTCCTGATATATCACAATCAGTTCATTTTACAAACATACTCTGATCTTTTATTTTTTTTCTGATGTGCACTCTCTACATCATTTTGCCATTGCTAGCATTCAAACACAGCAATGGACATATTTTGCTGTAAAACTAACCCATGATAGAGCATTCCAGTTAAAATTTTGATTAAATATCTAAACTGTTTATTAACATGTAACTTTTTAATTAAATATCTAAATTTCATTGTAGTAATATTCTATGTTTGTGTAATAAAGTATATTTGTATTAAATATCTTAAACTGTTCTTTGTGGGAGGTGATGTATAGGAGATGTGTATGGTTGAAATATACAACTATGTTGGGGTCAGGTTTTAATGCAGTGTTGGCCAGCCCTTTCAAGGTGGAAGTCTGATGTTCTTTGAGATATATAGAATACAGTAGAGTGTCGATTATCCGAATCAATTGGGGACTGGGGTTGTTCAGAAGATCGATGTTTCAGATAACTGATTACGTACGAAAAAATATATTAATTTATCCCATCTTGACATTTTTCTCCATTATGTGTCGCTTCACATTGAATTTTCATTGATGTTAAGCCTAACGAAAGACTATTATATCGTTAAAAATTATTTTTTTATTTTGTACAAACAAAATAAATATATTGAAAAATATNGTGGGTTTTTTACCGAAAGAGACTTCGACTCGAAGAATCTTCCGATGAAGTGCTATTCGTTATTTTTTTGGAGGGGATTCCCCTTCTAAGCATTAAGGTTCGTATATCTCCACTTTTCTGCCACCAACTACAACAAACGAAGGTATGTACAGTGCTATTTTATTAAACAAAGTTTACATGTTTGTTGCTGTAATGATAGATACTACGTTTTCCTGCATTTTCATCAAAGAAAATTACTGTATATTACAAATAAAATCACAAAAATTTCGGAGATTAGAACGAATTAATTGCATTTGCATTAATTTCTATGAGAAAAATCGCTTCGGTTAACGAATAATTCAGTTAACGAACGGAGTCGTGGAACGGATTAAGTTCGTTAACTGGGGTTCCACTGTACTGAAAATAAAAACATAAAAGTAATTCCTTTGAAAATTCAAAAAATTTTGCCAGTTATTTCACTACTTACTGCTTTATATTGTCACATTGAGATCTGTCCATTCATTATTCTGAAAATTTGAAAATTTTACCTTTGCATTTATCACAATAATAATGTTTTTCTATAATAAGGACTTTTAGCAAAACCATTTTTTGCTTGATGAAATGAACATGAAATGAGAATGACAAAATCATGTGATATGCATCTGCTTTGAGATTATTTCAAATGGCTGATATTCATAGTTATATTTGAATATGAGAATAAAGGCTTGTATTTGTACTACCGTATTTTACGGACTATAAGACGCACTTTTTTCTTCGAAAAATTGCCTCCAAAATTCAGGTGCATCTTATACTCGAAATTAATATAAAAATGTCTAGTGTTTGATTTCAAATTCTCGCCAGTCTTAAAAATGGCCATATATTTGATGACGCAGGAAATCTGTCTCTATCTGGCAACATTGAATTCAACTGGCAGCAGCAATGCATCGATGCAACAAACATGAGTTGTGGGGATTCACAAGCTTGCTAACACTGTCTCCCTCCCACCCCACCATCACAAACCCAGAACACTGTCTAGCCTATGATTCGTCATTGCAGTCTACAGTGCCAGTGAACTTGAATTGAAAGTGATTTGTATTATCGGTAACAGTACAATATTTTTGTTAGTAGTTTATAAAAATAATGGTAAAAGTGTTCTTTTTAAAAAATTGCTTAAAAATTAAGGTGCCTCTTATAGTCCATAATGTCTTATAGTCTATAAAATATGGTAATTGAAATAAATCAAATATATTTAGAAAACAAAAGGGTACTATAATCTGAGATTTCAAAATGAATTGTCATCTTGCAAACTTTGCTAAAAGTGTAAAACCATGCTTACAATTCTCAATACGTGATAAGCATATCATTTGTTCTCGAGTTTGTATCGTCTAGTGGAAAATGACTTTGCTAAAAGTCTGTCTTTAAACATTTTCACTAGAAAATAGCAGGAATGCAGAATATTTTCAAAACCTAAATTTCCCCAAAAATTATTGCATACGAGTCTACAAAAATAACACAATTTTTTATGAAGGAATTAATACTTATTTCCATATAGTTTGAAAAATTCAAATTTAATCATAAATATTTAAATAGACCCACCATATAACTTGCTGTTCACTACTAAACTAATAAATTAATGTATTTTTGAATTAAAAAAATGCTTTAATTTAATCATATATAGGATATATATCATCTTAGGATAGCATATACCAGCGCTGTCCAACTTATCATAGTCTGCGGGCCATATTTTCTTTATCAAACATTTCGGGGGCCAAGAAGGTTGATAAACCACACGACATTTGCATAGTGCTATGGTTCAGTAAGCACTAATTGGTCAGTGAGTCTGATGTTGATGCTATAAAAAGGCGACAGTTCGACACACCGGATATACGTAACTCTCATCTAACTTCGACTTGGGAATTTTTTGTTCAATAATAAATGTGAATTCTTCTTCCTGGAAAAAATAAGACATTCCCTGAAAATAAGACCTAGTGCATTTTTCAGAGCAAAAATTAATATAAGACACTCTTATTTTCGGGGAAACACGGTAGTAAAATAATTTTAATATTAATAATAATAATTTAGTAACATAAATTTATTCATAGTAAAATGTACTCGCGGGCCGTAAAAATTATTTGGCGGGCCGTATACGGCCCGCGGGCCGCCAGTTGGACAGCGCTGCTATA